TGTTCCAGGCCAGGTTGGATGGGGCTTGGAGCCACCTGGGCTGGTGGGAGGTGTCCCTGCCCAGGACAGGGGTGGGACGGATGATGCCTAAGGTCCCTTCCACCCCAAACCAGTGTGGTATTCTGTGATTTCCAGTTGCTTCCCTGTTTGCTTCCCACTGTGAGGACATTAAGCATAACAACCTCAAGACAAAGAAATGGCAGAAAACTGGAGAAGTGTCTGGATCCAGCAGAGACAAACCTTCCCAAAGTGAATTCATTATGAAAAGCAAGAGGAGAGGCAACAACTGTGGGTGTCACCAGCAGCATTGCACAGACACAATCTAGAGATATTTCGTGGGGGCCCAGAAGGATAAATCAAGTGCAATTGCTCACAGAAGCAAAGCCAAAGCTTCTCGCTCTGAATCCAGAGAAGTAAATTCGGAGTCTCTGGGGAGCATTGCCATCATTTGTTTTCATTTCTCTGACTTCTCTTCATTTATGCTGAAGATTAGCTCTCCCAACAATGATCACAGCAATATCAAACCGTGTCCCAGAGGACTGGGATGAAAGTCATATTTACCAAAGTAAACCCAAGTGAAGAATCAAAATATGAAGAACTAAGTTTTAAAAAAATACTGGCCAAAAAGTACTTAGAAAAGAGAAACAAAAAGGCATTAACTGTTGCTGAACCATTATAGCTTAGCTAAGAACCTGCAGCTTCGCTTGGAGGCCAAAACCCAGAGCAAACCCCCAAGCCAAACTCCTCACACTCTCCCATCAACCACCTCTTGTGACTTCACATCTCCCATGTTGTTCAGAATTTATCCACGCCATATTTTTTATTTATCCCAGAGAAAAGAAAACAAACACCTCCAGATTCTCACCTTTGATATTTCCTCCTATTTCTCTCATTTCAGCCAAGCAGAATCCTGCTAAGGATGGGAAGCAATGAACATCCTTCCAGTGAGGCTGTTATCAGTATTTTAGCAGCCTGTGAAGCCAAAACACAAAGCTCGAGCTTTTGGCAGCACATTCCACCTCATCTTACCTCTTAATTACATCTTTATTAATTTTTAGCACCTTATTTATAGGCAAGACAAAAGCAAAGCTGTGTCTGGGTACATACCTTGTGCTCAGCTCCAGTTCGTTCTGCTGCCCAAAGACACAACCAGCTTGGAAGGCAGCACAGAATCACAACAGCCTGAGCTGGAAGCACCCACAAGGATCACCGAAGTCTGACCCTTGGCCCTGCACAGGACAACCCAACCCACCACCCTGTGCCAGAGGGCATCGTCCGAACACTCCCTGGACTCTGGCAATGAAATATCTGCAGTTTCGAAACTTGACCCCCCTCAAAATTGGCTTCAAATACCTGTTACTTACAAAAGTTAAATATTTATTTATACAAATATGATGAGAAAAATCTCATGCAGACTTTTCACGCACAGGAACATAAGCCAAGTCAGACTGTGATGGCTTTACAAAAGGAGTTGGTTTCCAGGGGCTGAGGGAGAGGTGTCACCACCATCCGTGGGCAGCACAGAGCTACTTCTGACACTGAGAGTATTCCTAGGGAACATATGCCAAGATTTCCACACTCTTCACCAAGATTAACAATTAATACCTTATCACTACTACTCAGAGAACTGGACAGACGTGTGAGCAGTGGGGGTGAACTCCTGCAGGCCACAGGAGCTCTACACTCCGTGTGGCTGCAGAGAGTTGCTGCAGATAATTCCCCTAACTGATGGAAATACCTTGAGATGGTAATGGATGGCATCTGCTTCTGCTTAATTATAAATCTGCACTGGATTCATAATTTGTGTATATTACAAGTAATTTGCATAATTAAAACAATTAAGGGATTGACACATCATGGCAATTAGAAATGCATCAAACTCTGGATGTTGTACAAAAAGAGCTTCAATATGAAACATTAATTCTTTGAGAACAAAATATCCTTCAGATTCCTGCAGAACAGCCTTCACAAATCCAAGAGGTGATCAACCAACTCCTCCTAGGCAAGTTTTCCTCCTGGATCCCAAACTCCTTGCTGTGCTTTTGCACATTGAACCCTGAATGCTTTGTCCTTCCTTCGAATCCCTCCTGCAGTCCCAGTCTGGTGTCATATCCTTGCTGCCAGGTGCAGGAGCTCTTATCTCATTTTCCTTAGCCTTATCCTGTTTTCCTTGTCCCTCTTTTTGAGAATAAGCATGAACTGGTTGAAAAAATGCTCCTGGTCCTTCTTCTTCTGCACGAGGCGGAAGCGTTGGTCTCTGCCATACTTCTCTGCAAACTCCTTGAACGTCGTCCTGCAGGACAGAGAATGCCAAAGCTCAGACTCTGTCAGCTGTATCTCAGGTTTCCACACAGACCCAGAAATGGGGGATGTTCTGGGAATATCTAACAGGAAAGTGAAGGTAAGGCTGGGATGGAGGTGAGACCGTGTCAGACAAGGACACATGGCCCAGTCTGCTCTGGTGAAGGCTCATTTTTTGATTCAAAAGATGAGGCGAGTTGGCAGGACAACGTTGGACATAATTCCCAAAGCAGTGACAAGGCGGTTTTGATTTAAACTCCTGGGTAGTTCCCATTTTCAAGGTGGACACTCCCCTAGCAGCATTGTCTGTCTTCATTCCCTTTCAGGCTGCATTCCCAGCCCCTTTACCCCAGGGGCCTGTTAGCTTCTGTTGGGAAGATTGGTGACTTATTTCTCTCCCTGTGTCCCTAAATCAAGCCAGAGACTCCAGCAGGAGCTGAGCTTCCTCCATGCTCACAGGGAGCTCCACAAAACACACAGTGCAACATTCCTGTCCCAGAGGCCAGGACAGCTTTGCCCTTGCAGACTGGAACCAGCACTGCTGGAACGTCACAGCTTCCAGGAGCTGCATCAGCCCAGAATATTCCCAGTTTTGTTGTAAAATGCTTCCTACAATGAGAATTATTTCCCCCCCAGAGCCCAAGGTGCTGTTTATGCCTGTGTGCCCAGGCAGGCTGTGCTGTGCGATCACTTGGCCATTTCAGCACAGAAAATTCTCATTTCTTTATTCCAACAGCTGAGCAATATTTACCAGATAAACCCCCTCATTTTCAGATCATTTACAGGTGAGAAAGCACCAGCTAAGCACTACATTAGCTGTTGTGCAGCTCTGGATGCAACACTATAAGCAATGTGAAAAAATAAGTTATACACTGCATGATTTGTTTGGAGTTCATTAGAGAACTGGAGAATCACAGATTGGGTTGGGAGAGACCTTAAGAATAATCTTATTCCAACCCAATGTCTTTGTGACATTGTATTTCTCTTCCATCAGAAAACAACCCAGAACAGTTTCTCACTAGTTCCAGCTCTGTGCATAATATAAATGAGATTTAATGTTCAGGTTCTGATTTTATGTGATTAATATGTGTGTGAGTTCTGTAATAATAGCATTTATATGGACAGAAAATATATGTCTAGGCGAAGTGTTGCACATTCTGAATGAGAGAGAAAGAGATGAGAGGGAGAGGGAGAGGGTACATTCCCTCTCCCAATAATTCACCAACATATTGCAGACTGTTAGGGCAGAAAGGCCAGCAAAGCAGTGGAACAGCTTGCAATGAAGAGTTAGCTCAGTGTTCTGGCCCTGTGAGCTGATAAGCTGAGCCCAAATGAGAGAGCTTATCTGCAACCCTCCCCAGGCAAATCCTCACCTTGGTGAGAGCTTGGATTCCTCAAGAAGCTTTTTAAACTCTTCTTTGGCTAACAACAATTTGTTTTTCTTCTCTTTGTACTCCTCTCTGATCCTGGTCTTGACAAACTGCTCGAATATCTGGCCAAGAAAGGGAAACAAGATACAGGAGCTATTAACAAAGCCTCTTGGTGTTCCTGCTCCATCAAAGAGCTGCCAACCCTTATCTGTCTGGCGCTGCCAGGGCAGCTTTGCTCTGCCTCCCGTACAGGAGCAGCTGGGAAAGGGCATAATTTGCTGAGATAACATCTTCATTCAAGCACCAAGTGCAGCAGAAATCAGAGCTGCCTGACTTTGGGTCCTGTTGCCATTTTCAGGCCTCCAGCACTGGTTTTGGGCAGCACTGCAGTGATATTTTGTGTGTATTGCTGCCACATTGTGTACCCTCTGCTTTGATTTTGCCTCTTTCCCATCTGCCTGGAGTTTCTGAAAGTGGCTGTAATGCTAACCAGCAATATTCTGTAGGTTATCCCCCAAAAATCTTGAATATCTTTCAAATCAGCTGTCAAAAACACGAGCTCACCCCTAAACCTCTACACACGCACACCCCCCTCCCCCAAAGCTTTAATGTGTTTGGCAGTTATCAACCTTCCCCTCCAGCATTTGGCAGCTAAACATGTGGCAGGACACAGAGCACTAGGACTTTTGGTGTCTTGAAACAGAGTTAAGGAGCTCACTATGTCACAAAACTCTGCTTTAACCATATTTTTATACCAAACCCCTGGCTGGTTTCAGGCTCTAAACTCTGTGGCACCTGAGCTGTGGAATAAAGGAGCTGCTCCTCCAAAAGCTCCTCCAGAGCTTTCCGTGCTCACTGTCCTCACACAAACCACACACATCAAACGTGATCACCATGGCACTGCCACAGAACCTCCCCACAGGTCTCACAGGTGCAGAGCTGCAGCTCACGAGAGCTAAACCAGCCAAACTGCCATTGATATCCAGGAGGTTTGTGGAAAAGGGAAGAAACGGCACTGGAAAGTAAACACCAAAAATGGCCATGAAAGAAGCACTACAAAAAAAATCTAGGAATTCTAAATCTATTACTCTACATGGAGCTGAGTAAGTTGAGTGTCAGAGGGGATGGACAAACGGAGCAAATAAAGCAGGTGGCACTTATTGTTCGCCTTTCTGGGATTATCAAGCCTTTATCGAGGCAATAAATCAAAATGAACAGATAGCTCATTAGTTTAATAGAGTTGCTCCTTAACTCTTCCCTGCTTACACACAGGAGCATCTCTCGCCCACTAACAACTCTTGGAAGGTGTAGGTAACTAAGCAGAAGAAACTGCAGATGGTCAGTGAGAGATTGTTACACACTCAGGCTGGGGAAGGACATCCATACACAGCTCAGCTGCTGCTCCAGGACACCCAGCACACCAACACCTCCTGGTTCCACCTCTTTCCCAAGGAGACAGCACTTAGAATCAGAGAATCATGGAATAACACAATATCCTGAGCTGAAAAGGACCCACAAGGATAAAAGTCCAACTCCTGGCCCTGCACAGACCCCCAGGAATCCCATGCTGTGCCTGAGGAGCATCACCTCCTGCTGAGCACAGCCCAAACTCTGAGTCTCCACAACAAAATGCTAATTTTATGCAGTTCTTTTTATCTCCCCATGCTAATTCCCGTGGTATCCAGCTGATCTGGGAGGTGTTTGCCAAGGGGCAGTGAGGCTGGATGGAGGTAGTGCTCACCTGCTTGCGTTCCTCAGAGTTGAGCAGGAGGTACCGCGGGTCGAACACGATTTTGTGCAACTCCTTTTCCCATGTAGAAAAGGCTGAAACCTGTGAAATACACAAGCACCTGTATTGAGGAATTTTAATAAGGATGTGAAGGAAGCAAATGTTCCAAGGTGAAGCAAAAGAGGAGTTCAGAAAGCTAATGAACCCTCTGAAGGAGGCTCAGAGCAGCTGGAAGCTGAATTCTAATCTGTTTGTGGTGATGCTCTGGCTGCCCCCACACCATCAGTATTGATTCTCTCCAGGGCATCTCAGAGAGATGCTCCTGCCACATTTTTGGTGGAAAGGATGAGGAGCAGAAAGGAAAATGCCATTTTCTGATCCTCTTTGTGCCACGGAAGTACCAATTCCGTTGAAGGAACGGGCTCAGCTTTAACTCCAAGTCTGATATTATAACCCAAGAGAGGCACAGACTGAAGAACTAGCAGTAAACATCTTCAAAGCACCACATAAGATGAGAATATCACATCCTGTAGAGGTTCTCCTATCTTCATGGTATCATGGAATGGTTTGGGTTGGAGGACCTTAGGTCTCACCCAGTTCCACCCCTGCCATGGTCAGGGACACCTCCCACTGTTACAGTACCTGGGACAGCACCACTGGTAATTGCTTTGCTCCAGAACAATCTGGAGGAGCATCAACTATTCCAATCACTCCATCTAATTACAAAGCAGAGTAAATTCACTAAAAAAATTAAGCATATGAAGTATAATTAAAGAGAGTAATTACCACTCAGACAGGGAACTCTGATGAGGCAAAGTGTATTGGAATGGACTGAGTTTCCTCTCAGAGTGGGTAGAGATAGGAAAAGTCAAAGTTTAGGCTAACTTTGTGGATTCAAGGCTATCTCCTCCCACATCCCCTTCCCACACCCCCTCCCCATGCCCACCATGCCCTGAGGCTTGGGGCTTTCCCCTTTTTTTTCCTTTCTTTTCAGGTGTCTGTTACACTCTCTTTTGGCCATCAGCTTCATTCCCAGCACAGAACTCACTCTGGACACAAAGCTAATTAAGCTCAGACTAATTAATCACATCATCACTCCTGTTTGTGGCTTTTGGTTTAGTGCTTATTCCACTGCACACTTGGCAGAGATCACCTCGAATAATCTGCTGTTTGTGATTCCAGTCCCACGTTGTGCAGAGCTCAGGACACTCTGGGGCTCTGCACAGGCACATGGAGCTCTGACTAACCTCCCTCACTGGGCTGTCCCTGCCATAGGACACTCAGCCAGGGAGCACAGGCTCTGCCATGGTTGTGGCATCACTTCCCAGAACAAGCAATGACTCTGTCGCCTCATATCACCACAGATGAGAAGAAGAGACATCTGAGGTTGTCATGAGTTTCCAGTTCTCAACTCCTGCTCTGACCCAGAGTGCAAAATACCACAAAAATTCAGTGTACTGAGCTTGAGTAGTATGTTTGTATGTGAAAGGCCAACTCTCTTGTCTTTATTCAATCAGATATTAGTTAATTGTGCAGCTGATTGCACTTTTAGTTCCCCGTGGGAGCCCAGCAGTAGTGGCAGGCTGAGAGTTTGGCTCTGAGAGAAAAACAGAAAGCTGAAGTAGATGATATTTGCTGGTTTTAGGGCATGCACTGATCTCCATCAGCAAATGAGATGCTGTTCTTGCAGGGAATTATGTCCAGCCCAGACACAAACTATCACAACATGCTAAATATGGCAAGAAGGATGGAGTGACAGAGCTGAGAGGAGGCCCTGGGTGGGCAATGGGGAAGACTCTGCTGGCTCTGACACCCCAAACCAGCCACAGCCCCACTGAAACACAGCAAAGTGGTCTGTCCTAGCAAAGGGCTCTCTGGGTCCTCTTGACCGGGAAACTCCTCCCCAAAATCTGTTTATTTGGGTTTCTTCTAACTTATTCTTCAGGATAAGGTTGAGGCTGCAAGAATTGCTCTGAGATGGGAAGGTGGCAGTTGGGACACCCCAAATCTCCCTTTCCTCCCAGTGTGAGAAGGTAAAATCTTGAGGAAAAATACCTTGTAGAAGCCTTTAAGAAGTCTTGTTTCACTGCCAACACCCCAGCAAGGAGAAGACTCCTAGAAATGCTGGTGGCAGATGTAGGTATTTGATGTCAGGGCTGGGAAGGAGCCTGGTAGAAGCCTGAATTTTCCCTCTCCCCTCAGGATTTTGTGGCAACATTTAGACTTCCAAGAGGATATCTGAGATTACATTTTTAGCCAGGAAAACTTTCCTCAGGCTTAAGAATAACTAGAGCCTTTGTCTTGGAGCTCCACCAAAACTCAGCTCTATTTTGAAAACGCCACAATAAATATACTCCTGTTGACATAATTTCTGTAGGAAGCTGCAGAACTCCATCTGCTTGGAGCTATCTGCACTGCCAGCAAGTAACTCCTTAAGAAGCAACAGCACGAGGAGAAAGTGGCAGGATATGGACATTCAATAATCAGATGAAAAGAGCACTAATGTCCTCCCTGTGCTTCAGGCAAGGCCAAGGAGCTGCTGCTAACTCACAGCTCATCTGGACTCTTCAATGTGCTCAGGCTGGAAGAAAAGTACACCAAGAACTCCACAATGTGAAGCAATAACAAAGCCAAACAGTAAATTCCCCAAATTTCTAGATTTTATGAGCAAATTTGACTTTTCCACAGCAGCACTTGAGGCTCCTGTTAGAGAATATGCCTAACACTTTCCTATATTGACTTTTCACCCCTTGACTTCAGATGTGCCAGCAAAAGTCTTCACCGCTGTTCATTTGTGGCCCTTGTGCATTTTTAAAGCATAAATAACAGACTGGATTAAAAAAGCAGGTCTGGTGTGGAGGCAATTTACTGCTGAGCTGCTGAAGCTCTAATTATCTACCTATAAAGTCTGCTGATTACCAGGGATAAATTTGAGAGGCTTTGTTGCCTCACCACAGACACCTTGGGGTTTATTCTGGTATGGAAATGACATTATCTTCTATGGAATATGTACTGCAGCATGTTGGGGAGGGATAAAATCTGCACTCACTGCTCATTTCACACCCTTCCTGTCCTTAGCCACCCCAAGCCCTGAGCCCCCCAAGGTCCTGCAGCTCAGCCCCAGCTGCACCCCCAGCTCTGCCTGGGGAAAGGCAGGGAGGTCCAGGCAAAGGGCAGGTTTGTTTAACCCTCCTGAGATCTCAGAACATCCTTTTCTAAAAGACTGGTGGGTTTTGGCAAGCAGTAGTGACCTTATACTGACAGAGGTGGGTTTAGATGGATACTGGGCAGGAATTGCTCCCTGTGAGGTGCTGAGGCACTGACACAGTTGTCCAGAGCAGCTGTGGCTGCTCCATCCCTGGGAGTTTTCCGGGTTGGATGGTGGAAGGTGTTCCTGCCCATGGCAGGGGGTGGACTAGATGGTCTTTAAGATCCTTCCAATCCACACCAGTCTGTGATTCCATTATTTTATGATTTTGGATGGTCAAAAAGTGAATTTGGCTTCCCACTGCTGGAATTAGCAGTTCGTGGTGATGAAACCCTTCCCACAGTGGAAGAAACAAAGAGCTTGCCAGGACAAGCTCTGAGCATGGCACTGCCTGTCAGGTGATGTACATGACACACCTTTTGCTCTCTGGGGCTCACACAAGATCCTCAGGACAGTGCGTGGCCACAGGGCCATAGTCCCATGCCCTGATGACCCACTGGGCTGTGTGGATGAGCTGCTGCCTCTGGTTATCTCTAGGACTCTGTTGTCCAAGAGCTGTCGGTTCTGCACAGCCATGTGTGGCTATGGGGACAGAGGAAGGAAAGCCATGCTGAGGAGTCACAAACCAACGCGGTTAACAGACAGCAAACCCCCTCACAACTCTTCACGTGGCTGCTAAGCCAAGGATGTGCTCCCTGCAGCAGCCCCAGCTGATGCCCTGGGGCAGGGAGGGCGACCTGGCCAGGGTGTGAGCAGAGCCCTTACCCCTCTCTCCAGCAGCGTGTCCCTTACCCCTCTCTCCAGCAGCATGTCTCGGAAGTGAGTGATTCGTTCTTCCAGCGGTGGGGTGAGCCCAGGGGCTGACGTCTCCTCACTTCTCTCCACTGCTTCAGCCCTCTCCCGGCCAGCAGCCTGGGCATCTTCTGTTCTTTAGCGAGGGAAGACACAAAAGAGTACAGCAATTGTCAGTGTGGGAGGTGTCAGTTCAATCCTCTCCAGGAGTCTCGAGGACTCAGGGCTCTGTGCATGGAGCTGCCAGGAGCAGACACTGACAGAGGAGAAGCTCCTCAAAACTACAGATGGTTATTACCCCATGAGCTGTGGGACCTGCCAGGGCCCTCTAGCAGCTCCTTATGAGCCAGGATGGTCTATCAGGGTGAGCAGAGGGACTCAACAGTCAAACACTCAGCTCTAATCCAAGCTACAGTGACAGCTTTGTACAGCCCTTGCCAAGGAGTGGACAGGGCTTGGAACAACCTGGGCTGGTGGAAGGTGTCCCTGCCCATGGCAGGGGGTGGGATGAGGTGATTTTACATCCCTTCCAATCCAGGCTGGGATTCTGTGATTCTATGATTAAGTTCAGCACAAACTCAGGCTCTTTCTGGAAAGCTCAGGAACCTTTAAATGATCCCAAGGTTCAAGTGAGGATAGTTCAAGGCAGTGATTTGATTTTTAGCCTCCTACAAGGTATTTGCTACTTATGCAACTTCCACCACTAAAGGATAATGCTTAGTCTGAAATTGCAATGAGAAAACAACCTTCTTCCTTCCAAGCAGCTGAATGTGATCAGTGAGCGATGTGAGCTCAGAGCATTATCCTCCTGCAAATAATTACATTACACTGCCATTGATCCTGGGATGCTGCTGCACTACCAGTGCCTTGAGAGGGAGCACAGTGCTTCCCTTCCCAGGCTGGCAGGGAGCTACTCTTGCTGCTTTGCTCAATATTTGGTGACACCACCCACAAAAGGTCTAATCCAATTTCTAGTAGACATAAAGAGCTTTCTCCAGCCTAAAGCAAGGAAAGTGCAGCTCAATCCCCTCTCCAGTCAGGCACCAGGGCTTCGTCCTCCAGCCCTTACACAACTGAAAACGCTGCTGCAAATCACACTGACTTTCTCTTTCTCATGCCAAAACTGACAACAAACAATCCAATTTAGCAAATATACATCAATCTGCACCACAAGCTGTGCCTGCCCACTCAGAAGGACACATGCCATGGATTTTGGAAGGCTGCACGTCTCAAAACGGCTTCTTCAGTTGTTCCTTCCTGAGGATTTGCGGCACACGTGGTAATAAAGGTCAATAACAGCAACACCTCAGGCTAGTTCTGAGTGGGAGCCTGGAAACCCTGAGAGCGGCAAAAAACATTCTCTGCTTCACTTCAATGAAGATAAAGCTTTCATCCAATGCCTTTGAAATCACTACATGTCCTTGCAGTCTGTTTTTAAAGCCTTTCAAAGGAAGAGTTACTCAGGCAAAAAATGGCTGATGTCCATGGAAAGGAGATTACAGAGAGCCCTGGAGTCCAGCGAGCACTGGGGACCTCAGCAACACTCCCAGAATTTGCTGCTGCAGCTCCCCACACATAAGAACTGTATTTCTCTTTGCCCTCCTTTGTGCCAACATTGCCTTCCCACCGTAATAAATAATTAGACTTTAGAACTTACTTATTTCTCTTCGTTTTGATGCTCAGATCATCGTGTTCATACTCTGGACAGGAACTAACACACTTGTCTGCTAAAAGGAAATAAATAGTTATTAGATTTCAACTAGATAAATGGAAATACAAATTCCCTGAATTGCACTTTCATTCCCTGCTCAGGTATTTACTGTTTCCACTCCCCACTGAGAGTTTTAAATAGAACACAGATTTTATCAGACCCTCAGAATTGCCTCATCCAAATTGAAGCCACAGCAATGAACTGACCGTTTTCATGCAGAGAAATTGCTCATTTTTCATTCATGGCAATATTGGTTCAAATCTTGTTGTTGTTCCACCTGATCCTCTCTCCTCCCTTCCCTAAAAAAAGCAGCTACAAAGGCATTTCTGCAGAATGCCTTCCCTGCTGGCAGCCTGAAGGCTTTGCTGCTGGGGACTCACCCCGGAGTCCTCCACACCCATTGCTCTTCCTTACATAAGGACTCTAACACTGCTTTCCCAGAAATTCCACCACCAGCACCACAAGGCTGTAGATTCACCAACAAACCCCACACTCCTGATGGCCCAGAGTAACTCCAAGGCAATGTCACCCCCTGCTTTGGCCTTGAGGGACTCTGAGATTGCACTGGAGTCATAACCAAGGGGAAGAAATGAGAACAGATATTTACTTCTGAAATGTGCTCTTTTCACCCCCACACAAATTGCAGTTTCCATCCAGATCCCAATGTGCAGAGCAGCAGAAGTGATGTCCGTGCAGTGCCTGGTTTGTGCTGCACCTGCTCCCTGATCCCGTGGGAACTCAGTAGTGAAGAGCCACAGGAGCTTCACCAAACGTTCCCAGCACAAACACTTGGTGCAGGTGGAGCAATCTGTGAAGGAGTCAGTTTTTGCTGATGCCTAACTGATCTCTGCACCTGGTGTTGCAGGAGGGAGAAGCCAGAGCAGCCCAGGAATAACTTATCTTGCCAACTTTTCTTTTTGTGCCTTTGATTGGAAACTCATAATTAAAGCTCAGCAGCAGCCACTGAGCTAAATAAATTTGGGAGACATAGCTGGGAACACACAGCCCATTTGGGTTATTTATGGACTCGACATTCCAGGCTAAGAGAAGAGGTAACAAAGAATCCCTTTTGCCTCAGCAGCTAATACATCCTCATTAGAGCCTGACTGGCGCCAGCACTGAGCAAGGCCCAAGCACAGCAAGGAAGATTAAGACTATTAACAACAATGAAAGTCATGGCCATAAAAAACTAGTGCGTGAATCAAATCCTGGTGGTACCTGGAGATAATAAATAAAAGGATGGAGCACACAGCAAAAAACAGACTTTTGAAGTGGCACATATCAAGCAGGACTTCAGACTCTGCTCTTAATTAATTACAGGCCATGAACAATGACCTCAGTTTTGTCTTTGGCCATAATTCCCCTTGGCAGGGATTAATTGAGCTCTCAATATGTCCTGTAATAAAAGCCATATGCTATATTTTTCTCCTGGAGAATGAACCTCAGCAGATACATTTTAGGATGATTAGATTTACAGCTGAAGTTCTTCAAGCCATATAAAAAAATGATATATATTTATACACAACCCACAGATGATTGAAATTCACATTGGAAATTGCAATCACAGTCTGCGTTGATAAGGACAACACTAAAAACTCTTCTCTGTAGCTGTTGTCTGCTCCCAGTGCTGACACAAACCTTGGTTATCACTCGCTCTTATCTCCCTGCAGACATGGTGTCTGCAGTGGTTAATTGGGAGCTGTGCCCAGAGACCAAAGTGAGCATCCCAGGCCTGGTGGCCCCAGGGGAGGAGCAGGTCACAGCACCAGCCTGGCACCCCGTGGCACTTCTAGTTGTAGATCACATCAAACCAACGAGAAAGTCTCACTGATTTCCCTCTCCATTTTTCTAGCCTTCAGCCCTGCAGAACAAGCAGCAGTTGAAGGATGATGTTCTTTCTCCACCAAACCCAGAATAATCAAGAATTCCAAGCAGCTAAGAAAGATCAGGAGCATTTCCAATGACTTCCATGGCTCAACATCCTCCCATCAAGGGCAAGTCTTATGGACACCACCCCCAGAGGAGCCAACATGAAGCCTCAGCAAATAAAAGGAGCACCGCAATGGGATGGAGCAGCTCCTAGGAACAGAGTCCACAGAAACTGGTGAAGCATAACCTTTGGAGAGAAATGTGGTGGAACAAAGTATGGAAGCAGTATACTCAGGCTGGCAGGCTGTGCTGCTCCTGGCCTGGCCACCAGTATGACAACACCTGCACTGAGCACCTCAGGTATGCAGAGCAGAAAAGCTGCTGCCATGGGAAGGAGCACAGGATGGAAACGTCCAGCTGGGAAAACTGCCTCAGCCAAGTGGTTGTCCTGCTCCTGGAAAGGAGCAGCCAGCAAACTGCAGAGCACTGACACACCAAAGGGTGTATTTGAATGATGCTTTGAGCCGCTTCCCAGGTGTGACTGCAGAGCAGTGTGTTTTCCTCCAGCACTGACCCTCCCTGCAGGAATCTCTGATGGTCAGAAGGTGACTGGCAAAGCCATGGGCAGCTAGAAGCACCCAACCTTTCCACCAAACCTTTAGTGCTCATTAGAGCTTTACTCCTGGGATTTCTCCCCCTCTACAACTCGGTTGGCTGATCATTAGCCAGGGAGTAACTGCTTTGTGCAGCAGCTGAGTAATGCACTGGTAATGCATTGCTAATGTGCAGCCTGGAAATAAGTGCAATAAAACACACAGTGTCTTCGGAGCTGTATTTATGCATCAGAGATTCCTCTGGAGTAAGAAGCCACCTGCTCCTTCACTGCCAGCACCGAGCACACTCCATCCCCAGCTCAGCCTTTCAGCAAAAATCAGGATTTGCAATAATCAGCAGGTTTCAGGCAATCCTTCCCCGGAGCTCTCCAAAGGAAACTCACTCTGATTACAGGTCTCAGACTTGCCCTGAACACATTTAGCCCCCGAGTCTCACTGGATATTTGAGTTGAAATAGAGGCAAATAATCACAGGGTGTTAGTTACTTGCTGCAGCTTCCAACTTGCGCTTGTGGGGAGGGTCCTCGATGAGGCGGTTGATGTCCCCACGGTGCTTCAGGTCCAGAGGCTTCTCCCACACTGACAGCTGCATCGTGGGGTTGAAGAAGAACACTCGGTCATCTCCAGTCCAGACCACACACCTAGGCCAAGTGATAAACCATGTTTAGACCATGGCAGATACACCCACAGCGAGACATTCACCCACAGCTGAGCTACTGCAGCCCTGGTCACCCTGCCCAGGTGACAGCACTACTGATGGGAGGAGGTGTAACCACAGCATCCCTGTGCCATTCCCACAGCATCCCAAAGGCATCCTCATGGCATTGCTATGGCATCCCAGTGGCATCTCCATGGCATCCCCAATGGCATCCCTGTGCCATCCCCATGACATCCCAGCCAACTCCCACCTGCTCTGGACAGACCCACACACAACCTCAGCACTCTGTCCCAAAGCTCTAGGCTGATTTTTAAGGCCTCTGTTTGAAAGCTGTCAAAGGTGGCCAAGCTCTGCAATGCAAACCTGAGGCTCTTGCCTTGCCCAGGTAAAATATGCACAGCAGCAGCTCAGCTCTTTGTCCTGACATTCATTTGAAATCAGCCAAAATAATAGGAAAATAAGTATTGCACCATCCTTAATAGACACTGAAAAACTCAGAGATGTACTTCCTAAATTTATATGTAAATAAACAAACAGAATTTCCATCTCAAGCTGCTGCTTGCTGAATCACAATGAGAGCTGACAAACACAAACACACACACAACACACACACTCAGAGCAGGAGAACATTGGTCTCTCTGAAGCACAAATACCTGAAAGGAACAAAGCTTATAATTAGAAGCTCTAATGCTTGCATTAAAAGCAGGGAATAAAGATGGTTAAAAAGGGTCTGGTCTGGATAAAAGGCTGCAAATAGGAAAACTGCTCCATCACTGCAGATATGCCATGAAATCATAGAATCATAGAACCAACCAGGTTGGAAAAGACCTCCAAGATCATCGAGTCCAACCCTACCATGCTTACCATGCCACATCCAGTCTCATCTTGAAAACCTCCAGGGATGGTGAATCCACCACCTCCCTGGGCAGCACATTCCAATGCCTGAGCACTCTCTCTGTAAAAAGCCTCTTCCTAATATCCAACCAAAACCTGCCCTGGCAGAGCTTGAGTCTGTGCCCTCTTGTCATGCTGCTGGTTGCTGTGAGAAGAGACCAACCCCCACCTGACTACAACCTCCTGTCAGGGAGTTGCAGAGGGTGATAAGGTCTCCCCTGAGCCTCCTCTTCTCCAGGCTGAACACCCCCAGCTCCCTCAGCCTCTCCTCATGGCACTTGTGCTCGAGTCCCTTCACCAGCCTTGTTGCTCTTCTCTGGACCTGCTCCAGCCCCTCAATGTCCCTCCTGACCTGAGGGGCCCAGAACTGAGCACAGGATTCAAGGTGTGGCCTCCTTCTGGTCAACCATTCAGGACAGGCAGGAATAAAGGTTTTATCTATTTAAAAATGCCACAAGGGCTTTAGTCAGTCAACACATCTTTACCTGAATGGGAACACATGGTACACAACCTGAAACCAACATCATCCTTGTAAGACAGTAAGAGTCATCCACTGTCAAGGAAATAATAACTAGGACAGAGAGAGGATCTGGCCCTAAAGAGCAGGAATATTTCTTGTGGATCTTGTCTTTCTGCCCTGATCCATCCAAGCCCTCTGTGAGCTGAGCCGTGGGGAGGCAGAGCCCATCTGGCCCAGGCTGCACCTCTGGCAACCTCCTACGGTGTCCCTAAGCACATGAGTAACGAGGAAAAGCTCCATCAGAAGCTGGACCAGGACCCAGCCATGCTACTGAAGACCCAGAACAGTGTGTTTCCCCACGTAGCAGCCCATTAATGCACATCTGGGAAGGGAACAGCTTCCAGCAGTGTGACTGCATCTGCTTACCATGGGGATCCTGGCACTGGTGTGGATGCCACAGGCTTGTTGCCGTTGGATGTGCTGTCATCCTCATTTACTAGTTTAAAAGAATGATCCTTGAAAGACAGACAGAGATTAGTTACCAAATAAAGCTGGTGCAGAGGACTTTATTGCTGCACAAATCACCCCTGGACCGGGAGTGCCTCACCCCCACAGCCTTAGCCCAGAGAGGCTTTCTGAGCAGCAGCTGCATCCAGAACAGACCAGATAAACAGGGAAGGATGAAAGTGCCACCCCACTTCAAGCAAAATAAATGACAAACCAGCTAACATGCTTCTCTCCATGCCCAGAACTCCCCTGGGAGAGAAGGGATAACTCCATGTGTGGCACTAACACGGAGAGGAACGAGCCCAGGGAGCAGTAGCTGCTCTGCAAAGCCCAGTGCCACACTTCTCCCAGGCAGCATCTTTGGGATTTCCCAAGGACATAACACTGGCAAGAGTGATTGTGGGGGGCAGCTGCACTCCTGTCCTCATCAAACAGCACAAGAGCTCAGGGATTTGCCAGAGAGAGTCCAGAGGAGGCCATCGAAATACTCTAAGGGCTGAAGCAGCTCTGCCACAGAGACAGACTGGGAGAGCTGGGGGTGTTCAGGCACTAGGGAGAGCTTACAGCCCCTTCCAGTGCCTAAAGGGGTTCCAAGAGAGCAGCAGAGGGACTTGGGACAAGGCATGGAGTGACAGGACAAGGAGATTGGCTTCCCACTGCCAGAGGGCAGGGACAGATGGGATATTGGAAAGGAATTCCTGGCTGGGAGGGTGCTGAGACACTGGCACAGGTTGCCCAGAGAAGCTGTGGCTGCTCCATCCCTGAGAGTGTTCCAGGCCAGGTTGGATGGGGCTTGGAGCAACCTGGGCCAGTGGGAGGTGTCCCCAACCAGGGCAGGGGTGGCACTGGATGACCTCTAAAGTGCCTTCCAACCCAAACCAGTCTGGGATTCTATGGGGAGGAAATCAGCCATGAGGGTCTCTCCCCTGACAGTAGCAATCGATGACAGAGCTCCTGCAAAGCACCGAGAGAAACTGAGCACTTGGCTCTTTAAATCAGCTGTAGGAAGTGACTGTGTATGTCCAGTCAGGACAGTCCTTTCTGCTGGCTCTGATTTCTCTCTGGCCCTCCAGTGTGTCCCAGAGGTTCTAGGGAAGGTCCCTGGCAGACCTTGCTGCCGTTGCTGGCCGCGGGTACACTCTTCCTCTCCGTGTGCAAGATCAGCGTTGGGGGGCACGAGGATCGGCTCGAGTCCTTGCCATGGTCTGTGGGAGGAAAGGATCCCTTGTTAATGTGCAGAAATAGAGTCCCACTGAACCAGAACTGGTGAAGAAAACAAAAGCCAGGTTGGATGGGGCTTGGAACAACCTGGGCTAGTGGAAGGTGTCCCTGCCCATGGCAGGAGTGAGGTGAGATGAGCTTTAAGGTCCCTCCAACCCAAGTCCTTCTGTGATGCCATACAGCAGTTGGGTTTCACGTGGTGAAACCCAACTCAGTTAATTTCAAACCCACTCAGAGTACAGACCAGAGCCACATGTAACAGGAGCTCACTGAGGAGCAGGTTGGAGCCTCAGCCATTTGACTCTGCTTCACTTGGAATATGTCAGCACAATAAATAATTAAACACATGTCACTTTGCTCAGATGACTTCCTCCATTTTCAGGGGGAGTGAAAAGGAGATTTACAAACCAGACCAATTAATTTCCACATTAAAGGAGACAGGAGTAGGGAGCAGCTAATACACATCAAAAGGGTCTCTAAATTTATCTTCCTTCCCTCGATATCTGGTAATCAGCAATCAAAGCTTTACCAGGCACGCTGGGCTTTGAACTGGGTGAAGTCACAGCCAGTGTCAACACCCACCTCTGCCTTCTGCCTGGCTGGAAAGGAGAAGGAAGGACATCCCAGAGGTGTGCTGGGACTGGGGCAGGGAGGGATGAACATGTGAGCACCTGGAGAGGCCACGGCAGAAACCTGCTGGGGCAGCTCACACCCCAACAGCCACTCTCACTCCTCTTTGAGCCTCACACACCTTCCCCAGGAGACACTCAGCACCTCAAATACCTCAGGAAACCTCTCTCTCCCTCCTGTG